CCCCCCCTCCCCACGCGCGAAAGACCGCCGCCGCGGGAGCTTTTCCGCTGGCTCTACCTGGGACCCTGCAACCCATTCTCCATGGCTGGCCGGCTCGCTCTCTTCGCTCGCTCCGCTTCCTTCCCTTCCTTGCCCGGCTGGGTCCGGCTGCTGGGCTCGGCGGTGCTCTCCCTCCGCTCTCCCTCTCTCTCTCTCCGCCCGCGCTCCTTGGCGCCCCCCGCCCCGAAGCCCACTCCCCTCCAGGCTACTCCCACCGCCCCTCCCCCGTCCGCGCCATTGGCTCCCCCTCCCACCCCGGAGGAGCCCCCACCCCCCCTCTCCAGCCAGGCAAGAATCGGGAGCCTCTGGCCCGCCTCCTTCGGCGGAGCCGGCCGGCCATTGGGCGCAAGGCTGTCACTCCGGCGCCCGGGGGAGGGGGGGGGGCTCGGCCCCCTCATTTGTGGGCACTTGGCTGGGTCGAGGGTGCCCCCCCGCGGCTGCGGAGAGGAGCTCCGGGTGGCCGGGTGGGGGGCGCGCGCGGGCGCCGGGAGGCAGCTTGGGCCGCGCAGAGCTGCTGCAACCCGGCGCCGATCCGGAGTCGCGCCCGGTTTCCTTTGGGCAGGTTGGAGCCTCGGTGTGGATCCACCTGGGCGGAGGGGAGTGGGGGGGGGGAGGTCCAGTCGGAGTCTGCAGCACCGCGCAGGGCTCGCAAAGGAGGTGACTCCGGATTAAGCTGCCCCGGTGCGCGGCTTGGCGTCAAGACTTCCACCCGATCCAGGTGAGGATCGGGTGTTAAAAGGGAAGAAGAGGAAAGAAGAGCCGCGCCCCCCCCCCCCCCCAGGGGGGGGGGGGGGGGGGGCCCCTTTCCCCCCCCCCCCCCCCCCCCCCACAGCCCCCAAATACCAACTTTGTATGTACTTCGAATGGGACAATCCGAATTAAGCGCTAGGACCCCTCGCCTCGGGCGCGCGGATTAAACTCCAAACGCCTCGCCCCGAGCAACCGCCTACGAGACTGTCCCGGCCCCCCAATCGGGACGCAGCCCCGGTCGGCCGTTGGAGGCGGATGGGATTTGTAGTCCCGCGGAGCCCCTTTCCCCGCCAAGGGCCTGTTTCCGCCAGGCGAAACGGGGCTCGGTCCGGCCGTGGCGCGCCTGTCCCGCGGTGTCGACACCTGTTCGGGCGGGCGGGCGGGCGGGCCGGGCGCTCTCCCGGGTCCTGGCCCGGCGAGCATCTCGGACCGGTTGGGTGAAGGCGCCCCCTCGCGGGCGAAGGAGGCAGCCGCTCCGTTCTCCGACTAACGGACCCAAAGCCTCTCGGCGGTCCTTCCGCCCTTAGGGCGCCGGCAGGTCTTCAAACTTGGCAGCTTTGAGATTTGGGGGACTTCAAGTCCCCCCCCCCCCCCCCCCCCCTTGAAGCTAATTCCATCCAAACGGAGAGACTGCAGAGGAAGGGATCTCCAGAGAGGAAGCAGAGCCGGCTGGGGAATTCTGGGAGTTTGAAGTCCACAAAGTCTTCCAAGGGGCCAAGTTTGGGGAACCCCCCCCCCCGTTTTAAGAAGAGGAGTTGGGCAACTGTGGGAACTTCAGCACCCAGAATTCCTGGCTAGGAAAGAGATCTGTTTTTCGGGGATCACCCACAAAACTAACCACCTTCGGAAACGAATCACAGGCCTAGATTCTCTCAACGCAACCCACTTGAACAGGGGTCATCGAAGTTGGCTGGTTTAAGACTTGTGGACTTCAACTCCCAGAATTCCTTGTCTGGCTTTCAGGTGCCTTGGAAAATAGGTTGAGCCCCTCCTCTCTGTGACGGAAGGGACCCGGGAGGTCTTCTAGTCCAACCCCCTGCTCCATCAGGAGACCTTGTCATTTCAGACAAATGGCAGCCTCTTCTGAAAAGCTTCCAGTTTTTAAGCACCCGCAACTTCCAGAGGCAGGCTGTTCCACTGACTGATTGAATGAGGCTCCCTTATTTAATAGGACTGAAATCCTTTCCCAACTATGTTAGCTGCCCCCCTCAAATTCACTGGCCCTTCCGGTGTTTTTAGAATGGCAGGAACAGTCAAAAGGCAAAAAACCGCAGAGAGCTGATCTTGATTGATGGCTAACAAAATCAGTGTCTATTAAAATGTGTGAACCATAAATGTGACTATTGGGCTCTTTCTAATTTTTATTTTCAAACAAGAAGACGTTCACAACTTTGCACTCTTAGGCTAAACTATTTTAGAGCCTGATTTCTGTAAATAAATATTCTTCCAATACTTAAGGGGCTGTCACAGAGAAGAGGAGGTGGTTTGCCTCCAGAAGTTGTCGGTGCAGCAACACTGGAAGTTTTCAATAAACCAGGATGATGAGGACCAGGATGATTCTGCTCGCAACAGAATACCCTACAGCACCAGGCTTGAAAGTTTGGGCTTGGACAACCTTGAACTACACCGCCTACAGCTGGACTTAAGCATAGTACACAAAATTATCTGCTACAATGTCCTACCAGTCAATGACTACTTCAGCTTCAACCACAGCACACAACAGATACAAAGTCAATGCAAACCGCTCCAAACTTGACTGCAGAAAGTACGACTTCAGCAACAGGGTGGTCAATGCCTGGAATGCACTCCTTGACTCTGTTGTAACATCCTCAAACCCCACTACTCCCTTAGCCTTAAACTATCCACTATTGACCTCACACCATTCCTAAGAGGTCTGTAAGGGGCATGCATAAGTGCACCAGCG